GGGGCGGGGAAGGGGCTGTATGTTAGATGCTTGTGGACCACCATATGAGTACAGGGACACCCCAAACTCCAGCAGGTCTAATGTGCTTGTTTGAGGAACTGCACAAAGTGCACTGCGGCAAAGAAGGGAACCCAATGGCTGCCCCAGTGGGCTGGCCTCTACTGTGGGCACTTTGACTGGCTACCAATGCCCAACCAGAGGCCTGACACTTGAGTTGGAAAGTTGGAAGAAGAGCTGAGATTAGAAAGGATGTGCAGCTGTTCACAACTCTGCCCGCTTCGGGCTGGTAGACAGAGGAGGGAGAATAGTAAGACAGTAAAAAAGGAGGTGAGGCCAGATCAACAAAGGTGTTGGGAAGCCTTGGGGGAAAACCTTAGATTTTACTGAGAAAGGAAGCCACTGAAGGTGTTTTGAGCAGAGGCATGAAATGAGTACACATTTTTTTTTTTTTAGACTTTCTTTTTTTAAAATCGTCACCCAAGGATATTCCTTCCAATTGTCTTTCAGAGGGAGTGGAAGGGAGAGAGAGAGAAAAAAAACATTGATGTGAGAAAGACACATTGACTGGTTGCCTCCTGCATGTACCTTGACTGGGGCCAGGGACCTAGCCTGCAACTGACATACGTGACCTTGACCGGAACTGAACCTGAGTCCCTTCAGTCCATGGGCCAGCACTCTAACCACTGAGCCAAACTGGCTAGGGCTATACTTTCATTTTTAAAAGATCATTCTGGTTGCACTGTGGAAACTTTACTATTGGTGGGTAAGGGTGGAATCAGGGAAACCAGTTAGGAAGCTATTGCAAAAATCCAGGAGAGATGATAGTGCATGGACTAGGGTAATTTCCAAATATGCCTTAAAGATTGAAAGTAGAGCTGTCAGTATTTGCTGGATTGGTTGAGGGATGAGACAGAGAGAGACTGAAGTCAGGAGGTATCTAAGGTTTTTGGACCAAGCAATTGGGAGCATGGAGTTGTCATGTACTGAAGTAGGGAAGACTGAAAGGGCTGGAAATCAGAAATTGGGCTTTGCACACATTAAGTTTATTAGGCAACAAGACATTGAGCAGGCAGTTGGATATATGTAAGCCTGGAGTTTGCGGGAGACAATGGAGTTGGAGATATGTGGAGTTTTTTTGTTTGGGGGGGTCATCATCATGTAAATGGTATTCAAAGTCATGGGACTGTTACTGAATCACCTCCCAAAATTCAGGCTCATGTACCTGATGTGCTAATAGGCCAAAACACTGAGACATCAGTGCTTGGAGATACAGAAAGGTTTATTCAACTTGACAAAGTGAGAGGATGGGAGAGCAAGATCACTCAAATCCATCACTCCCCAAAAGCAAAAGAGGGAGTTTTTTTGTGGCTAGGGAGTAAGGGAGGGGGAGTTTCAGGGAACTGAGAGAAAAGTGTTTCTTTAATCACAGATAATTTTTCTGCATCAGACTCCTGGGTAGCAGCAGCTGGTCATAGCTACCTTGAAGATATTCTTTCCTTCTGCAAACAAACTCATAAATTCTCTTCCTGCCCCTGAAGTTATCTCCCCCAGCTTGGCAAAGAGGTACCACCACATCAGCAACTTATTACTACATTCCTGAGAACAAAGGGGGTTGATCAAGGAGAGTGGTTAACATTTGAACAAAGCCCTAAGTAAGAATTAAATTACTTAATTCTAGCTGCCAAAATACTATAAGCATTAAAATCACAAGGGGTTTGGCTATAGGGCTTTTTTTTTTTTTTAAACTGAGAATTTAAAGAGATTATTTTAAAAATGTTTTTATTGATTTTAGAGAGAGAGGGAGAGGGAGAAGAGGTCCCATGTCTCAGAGTTGCATGTCACTTTGGCCCTGACCCTTTCCTGTGACTTTCCTGGATGCTTCAGGGACAACAGACTCATCTGGACCAACAGGGCAGGTAGATAGGTAAGGACAGGGTGGCCAAGGCCCCTTCCTAAACCTTCCCCCAGGAGCAGAAGCAGCGGGCAGTCCAAAGGCCCAGATCAGATCATTATCTGGAGGTAGGGGCAGGTCAAGATGAGTGCCACCTTCCCCCAAGGTCCCACACAAAGCCCTAGGAACCCCAGTGGGTTCCTCTTTATTGTAAGTCCACTTCCAGACGCTCTGCAGCCATGCCCCTGGTTATCCCCTCCCCACTCCTAGTCTCCCCTAAGTACCATCCCCTCCAGGGCACCCTTGCCCCTTTCCTCTGCCTGCAACCTCTTCACCTAGTTTCTGTCTGTTCACCCTTCCTCCAGTACCCAACCTGGGAGGGAGCTAGGAGATTGGCTCCACAACCCTGCAGGCCCTTTCAGTGGCTCCTGCCACTCTAGCTCCTTCGCTGGCTTCAGGAAGGACAGACCACTGAACAGAACAGCCAGGCCTGGAGCCTCAGCTAAACCTCCTGGTGAGAGGCAGCTTCTAGGCTAGTGGGGATCTCTCTGCTGAGTTTTGTCTAGGGCAGGGGGCAAGGAGGAGGGGGAGTGGGGCTGTCTCCTTTTAATTCATTTGGCCCAGTTTCTTCCTTACATCTCCGGCTTCCTCACGGGAATACAATGACAAGACTAGTAATGCCACTAGTAGTAGTAATAACTGTGCCTGCTATGAAGACCTCCATACCAGCACTTTCAGGCATTATCTCAATTCATTCTCACTACGGTCCTTGATACAGGGATTATACCCATTTTACAGATTAAAAAAACAGACTCAGAGAAAGTAAAGAACTAGCCTGAGGTCCCATGACTAGCGGGGACTGAGTCACAACCAGACTTTCCTCCCATCCAAGCCTGCCTAACTCCTACTGCTGCAGATAAGAGCAGTGGACTTGAGGCCTGACCGGGGCTAGCTCTTCCCTCATTCTGGGAGGTTTCCAGGTAGGTGTAACCCGGCCTAACAAGTATGCCCACCGGCTGCACGCGCCAGGGCAGTGCAGTCCCGCTCCATTCCCCAGAACCGCACATCCCCTGGGCGCAAAGGAGAGAGAGGGAGACCATGGGGACCAGGCCTTTATTTCAGGGCAGCTGGGGAAGCGCTGAGCTCAGGGCCTCCCAGTTCTCCCCCTCCGGCCTCCGTCTGGGCACCATCTGAACCCGCAGCGGGCTTGTCACTGAACACTGCACGGTGCATGGCAGCGACATAGCTGCAGCCGCTGGGGTCGGCGAGGCGCAGCCGCACCAGGGGCAGGATGCGCTCGGAGGTGAAGTAGCGCAGGGCTGGCTGCGAGGAGCGCAGGGCTCTGAGGAAGACCTGCGGGGGAGAGGAAGCGGGCTGGCTGGGGCTGGATGCGAAACCCAGGACTCGAGTGCCGCCTCGCTCCCAGAGCCCTGCCTGGCATCTACCTCTGTCACCTCCTCTGGGTCCTGTGCCCCCTCACGGAAGACCTGCTCGAAGTGGCGCTGGTACTGGGAGAAAAGGTCTCGGGTTTGGGCGTCTGCACCCTCCAGCACCACGTCGAGGCCGTCCTGGACCTTTTCCGGGAAGGCAGTGCGCACTGGGCCGCACTCGATGAGGCTCACGCTGGTGACCGGAGAGAGTGGCGAGTGGGCTGAGGGCCAATGCGAACAGGGCCCCGGACCTGGCCCCCAGACCCAGCCACTGTGGCACAGAGGCCAGAGGGAGGGTGGGAAAGGTCTGCACACCTGCACCGGCAGGCGGCGGGAGCTTAGGCTAACCAGAGTGCTAGAAAAGTGGTTCACTGCCTGAACAGCCCTCCCACTTCCATCTGAAGGTGTGAGAGTGACTCTAGTGGCAGAATTCCAACTTGGCTGGGTCTACTGTGTGACCTTGGGGTAGTCAGCTAATCTCTCTGGGACTGAGTTTCCCAATAATAGTACAGACACCTCATGAGCATGGGCCCAGTACAGTGCCTGGCACACAACAAGCATGGGCTGCAGTAGGGAGAGGCCGGGGAGAACACCTGGAGCAGCTCCCAGAAGGGATATGGGGGTTCCCAAAGTCAGGGTTCAGGGGGTTCTAAGGGCAGGGCGTGACTCACTGGATCCCGAAGGGAGGCAGCAGAACAGCCAGGCTCTCACATAAACCTTCGACTGCGAACTTGCTGGCACAGTAAACGGCGTTGAAGGGCAGCCCTTTGAGGGGAGATGAGGCTGCTGAGACTCCTATGGGAGCACATCCCCAGAAAGCCCACTGTGGGCGCACAGTGCGACTGAACCTGGCCCAGCCCCTCTTGACTCACCCCACTCACCCATCAAGCCTCCCATGCTCCCAGTCACCAATATACGTCCTGAGCGGCGGCGCTTCATGTCTGGCAGGAAAGCCTGAAGCATCTGTACCATCCCGACCAAGTTCACGTCCAGCACAGAGCCCACGGCATCAGCTGAGTGCGCCTCCAGCGGCCCGTGCAGGCCCCGGCCGGCATTGCACACTGAGGGAAGAGGTCCGACCCCATGTGTCTCATGCACCACCCTCCACCCCAGTTGGTCCCTTGTGTTCCCTGGGCCTCAAGACACCTTGGTTTGGACACCGGGAGAGAAGGCTCTTGCATATGTGTTTTGGGGAGGCTCACCCAATACATCCACGCGGCCCTCTGTCACACGTGCCCTGGCAGCAGCTACGGAATCTGCGTCCTGCACATCCAGCTGCAACGTCTCCAGGGAGCCAGGAGGGCACCCTTGGGACCTGGCTGCCTCCCACAGTTGGTCCTGTGTGCTCAGGTCCCGTAAAGTGGCATACACTGGAGGTTGGGGCCGAGACGAGGATCTGAATGTCCTGCTTAACTTACCTAGGTCCCCTTGGACCAGGGGCTGCTCCCATCCCAATCTCCACATGTACCTTTGAAGCTCTGGGACGGGTCTGATGCCAGGCGCAGGGCCAGGTGCAGGCCGATGCCCGAGGAGCAGCCAGTGATGAGCACCACTGTGCGGTCCATGGGGAGAGGTGTGTGGGAGAGGCTCTGGCAGTGCTAAGCTCCAGTCTCTGGACTAGATATCACCTACTTCGCTCCGCCTCTGCCCTCAGAGGTGCCCACCCCTTGTTGTGTCTTCAGCACCACCTCAAGGCTGAACTCTCCAGAGGTCCCTGGCCTGCTCTCCCCACTCTGCTCTAGGTCACCGTAGAGATGAGGCCACTACTTGGAACACCCTTCTTTAGTTACTGGTCAGAGGTTGGGCGAAGCTTTGCAATCAGGAGGTGTGGGCTCCCACGTGGGCACTGAGTGTCCTGCGCAGATCTTTCTTCGGGCATGTCTCTGTCCCACATGGACAATGATAGTTTCCAAAGTTTGTTGTTGAGGGTATGAAAGGAAATGCTTTGGGAAGGCATTCTCAGTTCAAAGGTCAGGGGTTAGTATTAAAAATGAGGAGACCAAGGCAAGGGGGCAGGGAGAACTGGGCTCACACCAGTGTCCATGCTATAACCCCGAGTCATCCCAGGCATTGTAGCAGTGACATTCAGACACAGGGGCCCAGGTGATTCACCAGTTTATTAAGTTGTACTAAACAGTACTTTGATCCCAAATATGGGGTGGTGGGGGGAGGGCAGCTCACTTCCCTCCAAATCTCCTACCCTTGATCCCACTGGCAGGTCTTGAGTTCCTTCACCAAGGCCTGGGGACCTCCAGTGACACTTGCCCAGCTCCAGACCCCAGGAACCTGCTCAGGCCTGGAGTTTGGGGAGAACATGGCCCAGGGGTGGTTAATCTGTCACAAGGTGCCAGCCACCCACCGGGGGTAATATTTAAGGAAGAGCTTCTTGGCCAGGTCCACAGTGTCACCTTGGGGTTGCGTAGGATACCTCTTTGTGCTGAGGACAAAGGTCTGTTCCAGTTGGAAGGCGTTCTTTTCAAACTGGTGCTGTTGGAAGGGGATGCCTTGGGCCAGGCTTTCAACCAGCATTTCCATGAACAGCTGCCAGCGGGGGGTGTAGTAGTCGGCCACCAATCCTGCCAGCTGCTTGTTGGCATAGTCTAGAACGTTGCCCTCTGGCCCCCAAAGGGTCACCTGGTAGCGGCTGTTCTGTTCATAGAAATGGGCCTCGGCCTCACTGACTGCTGCTGCCCGGGCCTGCTCCAGCCAGCTGCCCAGCAGGAAGTGGCCATCACTAGCCAGTATGTTGTCCAGTGAGGGCAGAAGCTCATAGGCCAGGATGCCTGCAGCCCTCAGCAGGGGAACCAGCTCCTTGTTCAGGTAGGCAGTCCTCACCTCCTCGTAGTACAAGGTGACCAGCTCCTGGACCGCCTGGCGAGTGATGTCCACCAGGTCGTAGCGGAAGGATGGGTTGCTGGCCAGGGTGGGGGTGGCTGTTAGCAGCAGCCGCCAGGCCTCAAACACATCTGATTGGTTGTACCAAACAGTAGTAACCATCTTCAGGGATGGCCGCCTGACCAGTGGGCTATGATTGTGGCCCCTGCAGGCCTCGCCAGAGCAATTGTAGACACTCCTGAGAAGTAGCCTCCATGCTGCCTCTGCGCCCCCATGGGAGACTCCATACCGCCGGGCTGCAAAGCTGGTCACCCAGGCCCCCAGATCTGTAACTGGATCCTTTCGCCAGCCCAGCTCAGCCATGAGGGCATAGACCACTTCGTTCTGGCCAATGCCTTCAGGGGCCATGCCCGTGCCTAACATTGTGGAGTTGGGGAAGAGGCGGGCGGCAGTGGGGCCTTGGTTCACAGCCTCTAGGGCCCCAAACAGGCCGTGATTGCCCCCAAAGTTATGCAGCATGCACCAGATGAAGGGCTGGCCCTGGAAGGAGGCTGTGCGGTTGTACACGGGCTGGCTCTCAGCAAACAGGTCCAGAACCAGGAGGCGGCCACGGGGCACTGCCCTGAGCACAGCCTCCACCTGGGCAGGGCCCCAGAACTGACGCTGGTTCTGGAAGAGCCAGCCTTGGAGGAGCCATATGGCGTCAGGGTCCACTGTAGTTGGGGTGGGGGGAATAGAGAAGAAGATGATGAGAAGAGAGAGGGTCAGGGGACATTTACCCTCATTCTATAGAGAGGAAACAGAGGTCCAGAGAAGTTAAATGACTCTGTCATAGGACACTTCCTTCCCCTGGACTGCCAACCAGCCGGGCACTTCATCACACGCACCCTTCCCATCTCCTCCTCCTCCCCCACTGGGAGCTCTAGGATACTGTTATCAAGCTTTGCGGAAATGGGAATTACCCAGAGGGCTGGTTCACACACACATTCATGGGCTCCAGCCCTGGTCATTCTGACTCAGGAATGGGAAGGGAAAAGACGGAGGTTGTATTTGCAGACCTGACAGGCTCTGGGCTGAATCAGACTTGGAGTAGTGCTGTTCAAGTAACTCTGAGCGAATTGGTTCCCTCTCTGGCTCACACACAGGCCTCCCCACCAAGACACTTCTGACCTGGCTCCTTTCTACCCCTCCCCTGTAAGTGGCAGGAAGAAGCACTGGGTTTATATTTGTGTACCAGGAAGGACACCTACCAGTTTTAGGTACATTCCCTATCCTCTGGCTGCTTTCCATACCTCAGCTGGAGGTAGCAACCAAATAAAATATGGGGTGGGCAAAAGTAGGTTTACACTGTAACCAATGATACAATAATTAATAAATAAGTAATAATACAAGAACAAACTATTTCATGTACTCACAACTGTAGACCTACTTTTGCCCACCCCTGTATTTTCAATAGCCAGCACTTAACGACGCTTTACTCTGAGCCAGGCATCATTCTACTTATAAGAGAGCCCCATTTTATAGATGAAACAACTGAGGCACTGACTGGGAGGGAGGTAACTTTGCAAGTCACAGGCAGGAAGTGCCAGTGCCAGGGTATGAGCAGGTTGCCTGGTTCCAGAGCTCACCTCTCAACCAGGGTGATTAAATGAGATGACATGCGTGTACAAGTGCTTGGTAAACTGTAAAGTGCCATGTGTCACACTCAGGTGTTCCTATTCCCAGTCCCTTCTCCCAGCCCTACCTCCCTGAGGGTCCAGGGCTCCCCTTCCCCACCTCCCCCTGGCAGCAAACCTGTAATCATGGCCTGGTAGACGGCGGCAGTGGCTGCGGCGAGGTAGGAGGGCTCTGAGGATGGGGGCTGCATCTCATTGAAAGTGTCGGCCCCATAGATGTGATCTGTGCCAAACTCTTTGGTCAGCTCCCGCAGGAAGAGGCTCCCCACAATGGGGAACAGGGGGTCTTCTGGAGCCAGAAGGAAGGAGCAGGAGTAGGAGCAGTTGAAGTGTCCCCAACTGCCCATCTGGGTGACATTGACCTGAGGGAACACCCTAGTTGGGGGTGGGAACAGTCCAGACATTTAATGCAGGCTGACACAGTATTCACTGCCAGCCTCATTCAGTTATCTGCAACTCCCGGAACTCATCCTGGTGTCTCATGCCTCCATGCCTTTACACATACTGTGCTCCATGCCTGGAGTCCTTTCCTCCCCCCTCTGCTCACCCAGCTCATTACTCCTTGATATCTTTTACGTTTTACCTAATCTGGAAAGCTTTTGCTGTCTCGCCCCTCCCACTGGCTGAAACAAGCAACACTCATTTTTCAAGGTCTGGCCCAGTACTGCCTCTGCTCTGAGCCCTTGCGGCTCCTCTTCCCCAGGCAGAAGTGACCTTGACAGAGAAGTGGGCCCTATCACTGTATTGCAGCCCCTGCCAACCTATCTCACTCCAGGGACAGGAACTCAGTGCACCTTTGTCGCTGCCTCCCCAAGGCCCAGCACAGAGCCTGGTCTGGTAGTTCCAGAGAGTCTGACAAACATTCACTGAATGTATGCATGAGGCTCCTGCCACTCAGTGGGAGAGATGAAGGCCAGCATAATGCACGTAGTACTGTGAGAGTGGAGGAAACCAGGTGCTCATGGGAATGAAGGAGGTGGTGACCAATGCTGGGGGCCCCAGCAAGGCTTCCTGAAGGAGGGGAGGTCTCGGTTGGGCCTTGAAGATTTTTCCCAGCCACAGGAGAGGATGGGTGGGTAGCACAGAGGAGCAAAGGAGCAGGAAGGACAGAGACCAGTGCACCCCTACTACTCCTCATAAGAGCTGCCTTTTTCTAAGTCTCTGTGCCAAGCCATGTATATTTGACAAGTGAGGCCACTGAGGCACAGAGTAGTCATATAATCCATCCAAGGTCACATGGCTAGTGGATAGCAGAGCCTGGAATCAAGCCAGGGCCTACATCTAGAGCTTCAGTTTTTCTTTAAATCATATCTTGCAGGGGAAAATAAGTTCTGTCTCTGAGCTGAGTGGGAGGTGAGGGCTCAGAGGAGGGAGGCTCACCTGGTTATAGCCTTGGGGACATGCCCTGCGAATGCAGGTAACACAGGGATCATGCCGAAAGAGCGCATCCGGTCCAGGATCCGATGCTGGGAAGAATGGGAGGGGAAATGGTGAGCATGGCCCGAGATGGGAGGCCCTTACTCCCCCAGGGCACACAGAGTCCCCAGGATCCAGTTAGGAGCCTTGAGTCTGGCCAAATACCACCCTCCCTTGGCCTGTGGCTGTCCAGGACCAATTCTATCCCCTCTCTTCCCCATTATTTTACCTGCAGGTAAAGCTGCTTGAGATGCCAGGAGTGGGGCAGGGGGCCACCCCAGGTGTGCAGGTTGCCCATGCGCCCCCAGGCCAGGAAGGCAGGACCGGTGAAGTACTCATCAATCTCTGACTGGGTCAGTCCCAAGGCCAGGTACACCTGAGAAGGAAGGCAATCCCCACACACATAAATACTTCATCTCCTTTCATTGATTCATTGAACATTCACTCATCTTTTCTCTATGGGGTGCCCTACAGTTACTAAGACAAAATGCAATCTCTGCCTGCAAGGAGCCCACAGTCCAGCAGAAATAGATCTGTGAACAGGTGAGCTTACTAGTGTCACCCTTGTCACACAGGTGAGGTGAGGCACAAAGGGGCTCTCCCCAAAACAAGGAAGGGGTCTTAGACGTCTTCATGGAGCAAGGCTGGCTAGAGTGATGGGTGAGGACAGCCCTGTGGGAAGCTTAAGCAGCCCCAAGGATGGAAGCTCCCAAGCCCGGCAATGGGGCACTCCTGAGTGTGTTAGTGGAAGGTCTTGACCAGATAGAGGAACTTGAAAGGCCAGGAGTCCTGTTCAGAGGCTCTCGTGGAAATCCAGGGGGAGGGCATGAGAGCCTGAACTAGGACCATGACTAAGGATGGAAAGGATAAGGCAGATCAAGGACTGCTAATGACACAGAATCTATAGAAGCAGCTGACTGGACTTCTTAAAGGGTTTACAGTGGGGTGCTGGGAAGCACTCCTTCCTGCTTGTCTCAGCAGTGGAAGCTGTTTCCAGAGGGCTAGAGCCATCATGCACACTACAAACACTTCTGGAGCCCTTATTCTCTGTGTGGGGTGGCCCGTGTGGTGCGCACATACCCGCTGCCAGATGGCCTCCTGGCCGCTCCAGGCCAGCGCCAGGTTGATGCCATTCAGTGCCATCCAGTCAATCTCCTGTTCCCAGCGGGCCCAGTCCCACCATACAAAGGAGTAGCTTTGCGTGCACACATTCTGGTAATAGCGGTACCTGTAGGCAGGAACATGAGCTGGGGCGTGTCCCTCAGTGCAAAACAGATGTCCCTCACCCCTGACATCCATCATCCTGAAATAGCACAGAGGGCAGCCTGACCCCAGACCTGGCCCAGAGGTGAGGGGTTCCAACGTGGCCCCTCTACTGCTTTGCTTGGGGATCTACCCCCAGTAGAGCTAAGACTCAGGACCTGAGCTTCCGAGGCGCCCGCTGCCTGCTCCCAGCACTCCACCAGGGCCCTCTAGCCCTGCAGAGCAGACTCTTTTTTTAAATCCTCACCCGAGGATATTTTTTTCCATTGATTTTTTTAGAGAGTGGAGGGAAGGGACGAGGTGGGGATGGGGGGGGAGACATCGATATGAGGGAGACCCATGGATTGGCTGTCTGGCCCACTGCCCCCCACCACTGTGGGGATCAAGGCTGCAACCGAGGTACCTGCCCTTGACCAGAACTGAACAAGCGACCCTTCAGTCCAGGGCCTACGCTCTAACCAGTGTGCCACCCTGCCAAGGCAGAACTTAGACTTTCAGTCTTTTCAGTCGTGCATCAATGTCTGGATATACGGCTAACCTCCAGATAACCCTCTGATTACCCCTGAGGGACTAAGGAAAAAATGGTCATATTCAGCCCACAGGATAACCATCTGGAACCAATCCAGAGGTTAAGAATGCAAGACGATTCTTTTCAAGAATGTACCTTTTACATATAGGGCCATACCACCTGGAACGCTTCCAATCTTATCTGACTTCGCAAGAATGCACCTTTTTACTATAAGAACTCTTAGCTTTTTTCTTCTTGGGAACACTCTGGGTATTGCCTACTTGTGTTTCTGGTTTAGAAACCCTAAAACTCTTGAATAATTAAATCTGCATCATTTATTTCCAGCCCAATCCTCTAGATTCTTTCTGAGTTACTTGGGCAAGGCAGAGCTAGGATCTGAAGCCAGAGTGGTGCGACCCTAAGGCCAGCGCTTCCTACCAGCCTGGCGCTGCGGAGGGGCGGGGACCTCAGCCAGGTGTGAGCCGGGCCGGGCGGCGGGAGGCAGCTGCAGG